TCTGGCATTCCCAACATATATGTGCATGTTGGTGAACCGTACCCAGTGACTTCTCCAAAATGAGAGTCTACGCTCTCACTGTAGCATTGTCCCCAAACAGTACAGGGAAAGCAGTAGTGCTGAGAGGAGGGTACATCTGTGCATCTTTCTTGTCTCCTGCATTCTTAGATAAGGAAGTTACTCTATTCTCTACAAAAGTATGGTGAATGAAACCTATTTTTTTTATACTAGACTTGCTGTAATAATCACAGGGAGGCTTTTTCATGATAATCTAATTTATTTTCTAAAATAGGGTACCAGATGAATGTGTCATCTTGGCCAATGTTCCTCCTACGAACATTAACTGGATCTGAAATGGCACCTGCAACACTGTTTAAGAATGTAAGAATGGTTTTACTGTTTTAAGGGGGATACTTAAATGCTTTGTCTTCTCTGAAGTGGTAAAGCCAAAATAGTTGTCAAGTTACTGGATTGGCAAGTCAGAAAAAGGCTCAATTACAATCACCCACTGGTCAAAATGAATTAATACCCTCTTTCTTGACCTTGAACAAAGTTCTTTTTTTTTTCTTGACCTTAGATATGAAACGGATGCTCTTCTGAAAGCAAATTTCACTGCTGTTTTTTACATAACTTCAGAACTGTTTCCCCTCAATTTGCTGTGTTAGTCATCTCATCCTTTTTTATGTTATATGGGAGAAAATAATGATGGGCCCAAAAGCCACCTGAAAATCACTTGGAAAGATTTGGTTTCAGAAGTCAAAGAATGTAGTAATAATAATAATAATAATAATAATAATAATAATAAAACAGTAATCTTACCAGAAATAATTTGTTAATGAGAAAATACTTGCTATTTGAAAAAAGGGTAAATAGTTTATGTTCTTGAGATGTTGGAAAGAGTACATTATTTTAAGAAATAACGAATAAAAGCCAAATTTTATCTGAATATTTCTTTCTTACCCTTTCTCCTAATTGTTTTTTAAGTCAGTTAATTTTTATTACAAATATTCCCATTGGGAATGGTAAAAATTGATTGTAATTTTTAAAAACTTTTGAAGGAAATTAAAGACAAGGATGGGAAACATCAATTTATATGGCTTTGGCATTAAAAATAAAATAAATTGTTAAAATACAGTTTTGAGTAGCATGAATGCTGGAAGAATGAGCTTGCCCAACCACAGAGGGACACAGGCAAATGCAAACCCTTTGGTCAATGTGTAAAACACATGTGAGAATAGCAAATAAAAAAAGATATTTATTTAGTGCTTGCTTCAGCAGCACATATACTAAAATTGGAACAATACAAGGGAGATTAGCATGGCCCCTGCACAAGGATGACACACAGATCTGTGAAGCATTCCATATTTTTAAGAGAGCTGTTAACATTGTGGGGATTGGAAGCAGTGTCATGAAACAAAATGTGTCTGTACTGTTGAATGGAAAACTATTTTGCTCTGTAAACTTTCACCCAAATCACAATTTAAAAAAAAAGGTATTTACCAGTAGTCTTTATTTATTAAACACCTATTAGCCATTCAGGAGGAGCTCTGGTGGTGTAGTGCCTAAGGCACTTGACTGCTAACCAGAAGGCTGGTGGTTCAAACCCACCAGTCACTTCTCAGAAGGAAGGTTGGGCAATCTACTTCTGAAGCGATGTTGTTGTTGTTGTTATGTGCCGTCGAGTCGGCCCCGACTCATAGCGACCCCTCCTTGGGTTTCCGAGGCAGTATCACTACGGAAGTAG